CAGGAAGACTTTTTTAAAATGTCAATTTAGTTTTAAAACTAAAAGCTCAAATATGAAATTAAATGCTTTGCCATTGTCAAAATGTAAATTCACATAATTCAAGTCAATTCAAGTTTCACAAGTCACAGAATAGTTCAGGATTCTAATCACTTTATTTGAATGTGGAAAAAAAAATCTTTTGGGAAGGAAAAACATGTTTCTCTCTCTACTCTCACATTTGGGACTCTCTCCTATGATGTACTTATGTCATAGCTGTCCAGTGCATAGAGAAGTGTCCAGAAGGTTTTTTTTCAGGAAGGCTGGGAAGCAGGACATTGGGGTTAGAAGCTTAAGGGTACCACAGGACTTTCTTTCCTGTGAATCCTTTGCTCTCTAGTGTGTGGGTCAAAAATAGTCCTGGACCATCTTACATTCTGTAGTGAGGGAATTGTTGCCTAAAAAAAGAAGGGGTTTGAAGCAAGCTTTAGTCCAGGGTGGGAGGAATAAGGCTCCTATTGGAAAGAGGAGGCATCATTAATGGCTGAGACTGTGGCCAAAATTTGAACTTCTCTAGACAATGTCTTTTCATATAGCAAAATAATATGTAATTCTCTATTCCAATATTAATATGTATATGAATATATTTAGTGATGTTCTACAATTAGACCTGCAGTAACCTTCAATCTCAGTTTAAAACTGGTGTTGGAAGGGAGGCAGCAAGATCTAAACTGCACTGGGATTATTCCTGAGCATCCCCTTATAGATAAAAGACAGACTGAAGCTGAATTATCCTTAGTGAGAGCTATCCTTGAGTGAGGGTTTATAGGGAACTGGAGATAAACATGGAAAGCAGTTCCTAAAGTATGATCATGATGTGATAGGCCTTACATAAAATACCATGAAGCAGAAGTAGCCTTGCTGTGTCTGTTGCAGTCAGTCATTCTTTCCAGCCCCAGAAATTCGAGGTTGCTGCTGAGCTTACATACAAACCTAATGTGATGATCCCAGAAAATGATGGTTATTTTTCCTTCTGCTATATTTCCTGGGAATTCTTTCCTTTGCCTTCTTATTAAACATGTCACATGCTAAGTAAAAAATGAGTAACAAACAACAAGCAAAAAACAACCAACCAGAAAAGAAAAAAGACAGACCAAAAAACTCAACCATACCAAACTAAACAAGACTTACAGGTTCAAATCCTGGGGCAAACATTCTTAAATTAAGAAAAAAATCATGTAGTTTGTCACAGCCATGGTAATAATTTGGATGAGTCACCTTACAGACTGCAGTTAGCTTTGTCTTTTCTGCACTGCTCAACAATGCTCTTAGCAGTGTTTCTGCTATAGAACATGCAGCCAGTGCGTGGTAAACTGTGCCATCACAGTCTCCACTAGGTAATCATAAATTAAGCTGTTGATAATGTCTGAACAATGAAGATTTCTTTGGTAGTTTGTTCGTATCACCTTGTATTAATGAACTTCTTTCATACCTCTGGCATTCAGGGAATTAAATTAAACTTCAACATTCAGGGAATGCCAGTTTACAGGAAATTGGCTTACCAAACCTAGATATAACAAATGTCTGCTTCTATTTCCCAGATAATTAAGTGCCAAGAAAGGAAAACAAACCACTTTAACTAACAAAGAACACCTATCAACTTTTGAGAAAGCTGTATCACATATTAGCAGAAGCTCTGGAAGTGCAATTATGAAGCACTGACACTACGATTAGGCATCAGTCTAAATGAATGAAGATAAATTTCACTCACTTCACTATGTATAAATGTGTGCCCAGGTGAACCCTCATCTTTTCACCAGCCTTCATTCCCAATGGGTTCTATGTTCTGCCCCTTCCTTAATAATTTGTAAACCCACCCGTAAGTTTGCAGACATTCTTCCACAATGCGGAAACTACCACAGCTGTCTCTGACCATGCCCCAGTATGACACCCATATTCTGCTGCTGCCAAGCAACACCCAGAAGCAGAGAGCTTGGAATCATAGAACCAGAATGATTTGGGTTGAAAGGAACCTTAAAAACCATCTAGTTCCAACCCCTCTGCATTGGGCAGGGACACCTCCTGCTAGCCCAAGTTGCTCAATGCCCCATTCAGCCTGGCCTCTCCCATCAGGAGAGCAGAATGCCATTCTCTGTGACATTGTGGAACACAAGAGCATTCAGTAGATAAATATCAACAGGCTTATTATCCATTGCCTGACTTAGAGCTCTTGAAGGTTTCAGGCACATGACTGAGGAGGGATTCACCTGGGTACCCCTGCTAGACTGAAGCAGGGCTCGTGGAGTCTTTCTTGGCCATGAGAGAGCAGATGTCTCATGCCACAGCAACCTCAACTACCATTTATTTTCATACATTTCAGTGAATATATGTTGCTAGCTGCCTAAATATTTTTTATATATACTATGCAGCAAAATCCCTACAGCCTTTCCAATAAACAAAACCATATACGTTTTATAACTGTGTATTGGCCATGCATAACAATGTAAGTGACAATTTTCATTTAAGTCATGTCCAAGACTGCTTGGCACCTTTATATTCATCCTGTTCCAGGCAAAGGCACATTCATTGCATTGCTGCCTGTAGCTGTGGCTTTCATTCCCAAGGTAACAGAACTTTTCCTCATGGTCCTTGTGCAATGGAAGAGTTGTCATTCAGGAAATGACTACATAAAGTCTTGTCAAAAGTCAAGAGTGAAAACCAGCTCCTTAAACCACAGGCCATAATGTTCTATCTCCTGTGCTGATTCAATGTCAGTGATACTGAGGTCTCCAACAAGATCAGAACATCTTTTTGCTGCTCCTTTGCCCCAGACTTTTATTGCTGAGCATGGCTTCATGTGGCATGGGATATCCCTTCCATCACTCTGTCTCAGCTGTCCTCGTTTTGCCACCTTCCAATTTCTTGGGCACCTGCAACCTACTCACTGAGGGGGAAGAGTGGAGACATAAAGAAAACCTGAATGTTCTGCAAACACTAGCCAGCAATAGCCAAAACACTGGTGTGTTATCAGCACTGTTTTAGTTATAAAAATCTGAAACACAGCACCATATGGGCTGCTACAAAGAAAATTAACTCCATCCCAGCCAGACTCAGTACAGAAGTAAATAGAGAAACTACATTAAAGAAAAAAGCCTATATAGTGTCTAGGTAGGGGTCATCTTTTTGTTCTGAGGTTGTAGAGCATCTCATGTAGCAGTATCCTGACTTCTTTATTGTTACAAATAAAAAGTTATTACATTCACACAGATGAGTTTTCCATCATGACATTGACCTCAGAAATCCTCTTTGCTTCACTTGCCATTGAACATCACTCTGTCACAGAGAATCAGAGGAGGATTCAGAAATGCAATGAAACATGATGCTGTGTTTCTTTATGAGAAGGAAGCAGTGTGGGATGAAAATCAGCAGCAGCCTAGAATATCCATCTGTGCATGCTGGGCAGATAGGAGGCTGTCAGGATCCTTCAGCCACAATAGTTTTGCCATTTGTATTTCCAACAGAGAGATCAACAGCATGTCTTTGAGCTGACAGGGCAAAGGTGTAAGAGAAAGCTGCACATGTGAGGCAGCCCACCTGTCACCTTCTTTTCTGCCAGACATAATGAATTTTACTTTATTGTATGAGACCTGGAAAAATGCTCATCATGTGAAAAGCCATGAATCAACACAAGTGCAGTCTAAAGGGGAGTCCAGATGGTTAGGAACAGAAACATAAGAAAGATGGCAAAGTAGCATGAAGTTTGTTGCTGTTTAAAAGACATAACAATTTGGGGATTTTTGTCACACAAATTGTGTTATTGTTGTCACACCCTGTGGTGTCTCATCTTCCTGCAGTGGTGAGTAACTGAGAGGAAGTAGTTTCAAGTTATCTCCATGTCAGGCAACAACTTAGCTACTTAAATGTAGTTTATTTCCAGAGGCAGGACTAGCCTTGGACATGAAGAGCATTTGTCTGCAATTCCTTTGGTGCTGTCTGCCTCACACAGAGAATCTGAATGTGCCATTACCAGTAATGAACATGAGGTCTGTACATTGCTCTCTCATTAAGACGCAGTGATGCTGCACAGTAAACGTACTGTAACACTCTTCTCTTTGCAGTAAAACACAAAAATCCATATCTAGAAACAATATGGGTAAAACAAAAGAGAAATTGAAATGAGATGAGCCACTGCAGGATACCTGTAGGTCTCAAGAACTTATTACAGTGTAAGCCCATTTCTCCCTGTCTCTCTGTGACTTGCACTGCCACCTGCACTCTTCTCGTGGTGAGGTTCCCCATGGCCTGGCTGCTCATCTTGAAAACAGCTCTGTCATCCAGGGGGATGGGAAAGAGGGCCAAGGTCATAATCACTGAAGTATTTTGTCTTGTAGAGGGCATCTCTTTTAGGATGAAGTTGCTGTAAGTGGTGACAGAAATTTTTGAGACAGGAAAATTAAAAGAGAAAGAGTGCTGCGATAGGGGGATGACATGGGCAGATTCACAGCTGTCTGCTGACCTAAGACAGGTTGGTGGACTCGGTGGTTAGTTGATTCTGTGGTGTGCAGATATGAACTGCAGATATAGCCAGTCTATAGGCTGACATAATTTACAACATGTGTTAAAGAATGAAGCATAAAAACAACATAAATCTTTATAATTAATGGTCCCATGAAATGATGTGTGTAAATTGCAATCAACTGAGCAACCCCAGTTGCTTCTTCCATTCTGCATGTGGTTTGACTGTAAAGCTATACCAGGTCTTACCTACAGAAACAAAAAGGTGAGGACTTAAGGAATCTTGCTTACATTTGTTAAGAGTTTATTAATTTGTTGGTCATCGGCATGAAAGGGTAAAGTCAGATAATCTACCCTTATAAAGGTGAGATGTCAAAGGAGGTTTTTACTCGTGAGACATTTGCATTATAATGGCCTTGAAATCTGTTCCTTTACCATCTTTCTGGACACAGTACACACTGGAACCCCCTTGGAGACATGCCTGTAAGAAGCTGGCCAATTTGCTTTACCTCCATCACTCTGACCCTGTGGATTACATGTGTGTTTCCTGGGAGTGGGGTCCTCCATTCTCCTTCTTTGCAGTAGCAGGTGTCCCAGGGGAGCTCTTAGCCTCGAGGTATTCCACTGCTCCGTAGGTCACCATGGACAGCACAAGCACAGACAGTACAATGTACGTTTTGATGTAGACTTGAAATTTGGTGCTGTAAGCAAAGGCGATGACAAATCCAACTGATTCCCAGAGATGGTAATTTGCAAAGGCAGCCTCCTTGTTTTTCTCAAATAAAATGCCATAAAGTGCTGGAAGGAAGGAAGGAAGAAAGGAAGTAAAAACATGTCTTGTGAAGATTAAATCTGAAACCACATATTTTCTGCAAAGGGAATAAATAGAGCACAATGGGGAAGACAGACACTCCCTCATAAAAGTCAGAGAAAGGAAAATACAAGCCTTGTCTTGAAAAAAATTGTTGTGCTTCTGTGAATTGTGACAAGTAAATAACAAAACAAACATGACAAAACAGAGAACATGGAAGAAAAGGGGAACAAAATGCAAGGATAGAAGAAAGGATGTGATCTATTGAAGTAAGATGGCAAGACTTCTTTTTTGAAACTATTAGCTACAAAAATCAATGGTTTTGCACTGAAGAACAAGTAAGAAAGGAGAAAAAGGAGGCCTTGACATTGTAGAGTCTCTGTATATAACTATTGATAAGCTCATACCAAATCCTTACAGGCTTTCACAACATGGGCCCAGATTAAGCATGCAGGTAAGACATGTCTCTCTTAATCAACCATGTTTTCAAATTTTCAGCTCATGGATGGGTTAGCAAAAAGAATACTCTTGATGCATGCAGAAATTCCAGGCAGCAACTGGAAAACTTACTTGACATTTCAACTGATCATCCTAATGCAGTTGTGTTCTCTGGGAAGCTCCCAACGAGCTCAGTCAGTTGTCCACCCACCACTGGGATCCAGGGAGGGATTACAACGTCCAGGTCTGACTAGTGAACCACACAGGGAAGGGGAGAGAGCTTGCTTTCCTCTGGGTGCTGAGCTAGCACCATTGGTGATAAAGAACAGGGCATTTACTCTGACTCAGACGTGGTGTGCACAGAGGGAAGGAGAAGACTATAATGAACTTTGACTCTTTTCATCCACTTGTCTAACAACACATCTGTTTTAAACATGTACATTCAGCCAAAAGGCAAAGAGGAATGTAAAGTTCTCTGAAAATCTGAGTAGACTCAACTACCCCTTCAGTTTTGTTAAGTAGGGGGAGACTTCATCTGTATGAAAAAGCTTATCTGTCCTGATGACTGCAAGAGGACATTTACTGAATTGTTTCAATTTAGGCATAATGGAAAATCTGGACAAGTGCATCACAAGATGTACTTAGCTCATTAAACTGGCTGAGTGGAGTGTAGATAAGATAGTACTTCATAGTTTTACCTAATAAATGAAAAAGTGAAAGTTAATACAAATTCCCTGATATGCCCAGTGTTATCTTCTGGAAAGATATTAGAAAGGTTTCTGATACCATGGCAGTTGTGTGTCTAAAGGTTCTCTGGTTTTCAGCTGGTACATGTTTGGTATTTTTAAGCTAATTGCCTGGATGAGCTTCAGCAGGACCTGCTGGTCTGAGTGAGTGGAGAGGCTGCTAGCTCTAAAATTTTACAGTTCACTTCCATGTAAATTATCCTGGGTTTTTTGCCATTGCCTATTTTCCTACTCGTTCCCCTGGTACTAGTAGCATGGGTATATAACAGGACTGCTGGAAATTATTTGAGTCTGGGCTTATTAACTTGTTAGACTCATATCCTTTCTAAAGACGCAAATCAGCCTGGAAAGAGCTTGGTTTTATTGTAGTCCACCTGATAGTTCCATGTTACACAATTGTTAGCCTCCAGGTACAATTTTTGTCAGTGGGTAACATCAGCATCTGTGCTCAAGTTAGGTAAGAAAGAGCACCACACACTCTGAAACAAAGTAGCTTTCATTGGACATAAGTAACAACATCCACACATGAACACAAACATGTCAGGAAATAAGATTAAGTTTTATAGACTCACACCGTGAGCCTACATATCCTCTAGGGGGTACTCGAGTATTAAATATCCACAGGAGCACAAAGCAACCCAAAGAATGCCTTAAGTATGTGGCACTGTGCCATTTATGTATTCCCTGGTTAATCTACTGGTGCCCAAGCAGCACTCATAGGAGCATAGCAAAGGAAGGACCACAGACCTTGTAAACCAATGTTACTTTGGAGGTCTTATCTCACCTCATAGTCTTTGATGCTGAGAAATTATTTTGAAATGTATAACTGTATAAAACTTTTGAAGGAGATAAGACATTTAGTCCTATGTGGGTATGTCAAACTGAAGGTCCTATTCTGGGATGCAGCATTTGTGGGGTAATGTCACTGCACCTCTCTATTAAGGTTTCATGTCATCACTTGATGTTTCACTGTAACAATGTGACAAAGCGATCTTTGTGTAATTTTATAAATAGGAGCTGTGAAACATCTGAGTAAGGTACAGACCAAAAAAAGATACTCTGCAAGGAAAAAGAATATTTGGGTGTTTTCCTACTGTGAAAAATTTCACACAAATGTGAACTTTTCACAAGTATCTTGGAGGAATATGAGAATGGAGATGAAACAGTGAAACAGTGAAACAGTGCTGTAGAGATTAATCCTGTCACATAATTGCAGAGCTCACTCATCATCAAGTAAGCATGAGGCATTGTCCACTGTCTTTGCCTCCTCTGTGAGGTTTGGAAACTACAGTCACTTCTCAGCCACCCTCTCCAATACTTAAGTCCTCTGTACTTACCCCTTTTTTCCCTAATGTACAGGTACATTTTTGTCAGTTATTCAGGGACCTTACTGAGGAAACATGCTCCTCAAGGATATCTCAAATGTATGTAAATCTTAGAAGAGAGAGTACAAATCCAGCTCTTTTCAGTGGTGCTCAAGAAAAGTGGGCAAGAGGTGGTGGGCATAAGTTGAAATATATGTGGTTTCCTCTGAACATCAGGACAGTTTTTTCTACTATGATGGTGACTGAGCACTGTCCCAGGTTGCCCAGAGAGGATGTGTAGTGTCTGGAAAATATCAAAGGTCCTGAATAAGTGGCTGTGCCTGAGTGGCCCTGCTTGAGCAAGGGAGTTGAAGTCTAGAGATCCTTCCAGCCCTAACCCCACTGTGATTCTGAAAGAAGCACAGTATCCAGGGACAAGGCTTTCTAGATAAGATAGAAGCAGGACAAAGTACAGGTCCTTTATCCCAGTGGAAGACTAAGACAAGTTCTCAAAAGTGTTAGGAAGAAGGTTACAGAGCAGTTAGAAAGACTGTGACTGAAGAAGGAAGTAAAGAATGAACAGCTTTACTTAAGAGAGAGCAAATCCTCATTGATATTCTCCTTCCATGACCATGAGTATTATCAAAAGCACTGATTTAAAATTTTTACCTAAGGCACAAGCCTCTGGTAAGGATGTGAGATGATGAGAGGGTGTCCCTTGATGAATGTACTAGCTCTCCTCTAGGGCATATGAGCTGGAGCTGCTGGAGGGGCAAAGAAGGATGCTGGCCCTTGTGTGTAGGGGCAGGGACATCTGCTTGCAAGGACATCACTGTCAGTGCCAGGCAATGGACTGCCATGTTTTCCATCTGGCTCTCCAGGAGGAACATGACACTTTATCTAGTGGGTGAAATCTTCTAAGGCCCTGAAACAACCAAAGGGATCAGAGGAAAGAAGGCCAAGACACATAATCTGATGTGTGCCCAGAGGAGCACTTTTCCTTGAAGTGATTTTCCTTGATGTGATATAATTCCAGCTTAAACTTTTGCTTATGCATTGTGTGAGAAATATTATTCATTTTGATTTCTATAAAGGCTTCTGCCTAATAACTTTATCTGGTGCCACTAGTCCTGTAATTAGGAGATACAGTAAATTTCATGTCACATTTTCCATACAATTAATTACCTTACTGACAGCTTTCCATACTTGACTCCTGTCCAGGCCAAAGATTTCTAGCTTTTTAGTCTTTCTTCAAGGAGAAGTGCCCCATGACCTTGCTCCTTTTTATTGCCTACTTATGCGTTATCACATTGGATTATGAGTTTTGAAATGGAGTAAATCAGAGTTGTATGAAGTTATTTGGCTGCATAATATTGCTTTCTGTGGTTTTCTCCTAAAATTCTTTTCAATATCTCATAACAGACAATTTTCTTCTTCTTTTGTTCCTGAGCTTTCAGTTAATTTTCATCCAGAGTGCTCTCCTTTATTGCAAAAGACAGACTAAATGCATTATTCTTCTTAGTTTCTAAATTACTTTGAAATACTTATACTCCTCCAGAATATTTACTCTGAATACCCATTACCATCTTCTGCAGTATTCTTCTCTCTTCATCTTGGAAAAATTAGTTCAATGAGTATTTTGCATTCATACTCCCAACTTGTTCTATTTCTTCTGCTTTCCAGTGAGTTAACAATTTTTTAGATGCTGTCTTAAAGCCATTATCATTGTTATGCAGCATTGTTTCATAGATTCAAACATGCAGACTCTTATATCTCGAGAGAATACATTTCATTGTCACTGGGACTTACCATTAGTTTGTGTTTGCCAGACAGCATCAGATACACCCCAAAGACCAGGGATTAAGAAAAACACAGCAAGCTGCTTGGGATCAGGTTTCCAGAGCAGTACTGTTATTATACAGCCTGTGTTCAGAACTGCAGCTGTTGATTTAGAAGTAAATAAAGAAGAGAAATATAGATGCAATTATAATTAGGACAGATTGTGGTAGATAACAGTTTTTTATTCTACCCCCAACAAAAGCACAAGGCAATCTTAAAATCTTTCTGGTTCATTGAGCTTTGTGCTGACTGAGTTGATATCACATGAAATACAAGACAATGCAGGCCTTTGACAGTGTCTAATTCATAATTCTTAGCAGTGTCCTGAGCTGAGAGATCCTCATGGCTGATATGGTTGTAGCCCAAAGGACACGAACCACTGAGTAGGAGAAGGAGCTTCTGAAAGGCTTGCAGTCACCATGCGAGGCATGTGGGGAGAGGGGGCAAACACCCTTCTGCTCTCCTTGTCTTAAATGAAGTTTTTATTTAGGGACAGAGGATTTCTAGAGGGTGGTTTTGGGTCTTTCTTTTAAAAGTGGTTTGTAAATGAGTCACATTTTTTTTTCCTCCCACAGGTGCACATTCACAGGCTGAGTAAATGACCACTAAACAGAATTGAGAGGTTCAGAGGTCTTACATTCCTAATGCTACAGTTCTGGGTGAGATTTAATTGTTTATTTCTACTATTAAGGGGTTTTGTTTTTTTGTTTTTTTATATCTGAGTTTTATAGATTAAGACACACACATAGAACAGACAGAGGAATCTTTGAGCTAGTGACTATAACAGAAAGCGCTCCAAATTTCTTCTTCCTTGTCCAGGTTTAAAATTTCCTGTGAAGAATATGCCTAGAATGTCTTGATGCATAGTGATCTATTCAGTGATGTTTCCAATAATACAAATTATTGCATAGTGAAATAAGGTATTAGTCCACTTCAGTATGCATAATGCATACAGAGATACAAAATATTTCTTGGTATTTTTTTATGCCTCCATTACTCATTGGAAAAACATTCTCTGGAGGGGGAGATGTTCTTAAATATGCAAATCTTTTCTCAAGGCAGCATGAAAATTACTGTCCCATACAGAAGCCCTTAAATTATTCTAGCTTGATACATGTCTTTCTTCTATTTTTCTCGCTATAGAACAAGTAGTAGAAAGGACAGCAGGCCAACCTTTAAAAAGTTTCCTGAAATTTCACTCAAATTTCCAAGTTTGTAATTTCCTGAGACTCAGAACAACAGTGACTTCTTTTCACTCCATCAGGTGAGGAGGGTTCAGCCCAGTGGAGAAATCCTACTTATGATGGTGTAAGTCTCAACATCTGCATTGTAAGTCAATGCATTGACTGCATCAGAGCTATAAAGCATCACAGCTATAGGGCACTTTCTGCATAGATAGAGCCCTCAAAAGCAGGCTGAACTTACATCACCAGCAAAGTGATAGGCAAGGACAGCAATACAGTGGGCTGAGCTGCCTCTCTTCTCATGAATGAAGATTGGGAAGTCTGCCTCTAGACTGACTTTGGTTTTAATTGTAAGCTATCCCTTTGTATATGCAAAGGAGGGAGTAGTGGATGTGATTACATGTGGTGATCAGTCATTCAAGAAATCTTTACATACCTAATGCAAATAAAAGTTTTCTACCCGTGAACTGGGAGATCTTTCCAAAGAGCAGAGAGCAGAGGGAATTTATGCCTGCAAAGCAGATCATCATATAGCCAACGTAGTGTATCCCCAGGACACAGGTTATAAAACTCTGGAAGAGAAGGGATAGTGGTGTCACATAGTGTTTGGTAAATAGACAGCATGGACAAGATAAAAAGAACACAGCTAGAGAGTTTGCTGACAAGTCCCTGATGCATTGACATAGCTGGCCTTCAGTAGCAACTTTGCTACCCCAGTTCCCAATCAGACTGATGCCATGCAAACAGGGGAATAACAAGCAGAACAAATCTGAGCCATGCTTGCTGTACAAATAATACTCCTTAAAGTAGCATTAGGAATTTTCTGCCCTTCCCATCTTAGCTCAGGAGATGTAAATTGACAATTTACACTCTGGTCATGACAGAGCAGTTCCAAAAAAATAAGAAGACTCTTCTATAAGAGCATATAACCAGTGGAGGTTGCCATGGAGTGCCCCTTTCAATCTCTTCCAACACCGCAGTAAGTGCACCGTCCTATTTGATTTATATGCAAGGTTTGAAAGCCTTAAGCATGAAAGAATCAGCTCAGGAAGGTTGCCCTCTTTCTTTTGAGGCTTTCTCAACAAATGCCAGGAGAACACACCTGCTGCATGTCTAGGTTTGTCGAGAAACTGGAGGAACAGAGGTGGTTTTAATTGCTTCAATCTGTCAGGCTCTGGACCTGTTGCAGTAGTGACTGGTGAGGGCTTTCAGCCAGCCATGTTGAGGACTAACCTTCTTACCGTAAAGGTTGTCAAAATAAAATATGTGGAATGTGGCTGACTTGCATTTATACAAGCTCTAGGGAAACCAGAAAAGGAAGGAAGATATGAAAGCTTTGCTGGCTTCTGGCTTTTCTCCCAGTTTGCTATTTACTACAAGGTGAAGAGTTTGAACCTGTAGCTCTCTGCTGTGGCATCCACTGGTGAGTTAAGCTCTCTACTGCATTCATTTTGAGGCTGTTCCAAGGGACATATTTACTGCTCTTTGAAGATGTCACTCAGAGGTCATTCACGTAGAAGTAAGCAGTAATTTTGCAATCCACAAATCATCATTAAAAACATCTTTATTTGACAAGTAAATATTGATCAGATGTAATAGTAAGATGCAACAGCACAAGAAAATCAGACAGAAACATATTTTCATTTACATCCATACCTTTGAGTAGTCACCAGCAAGAAATGCCTGTTCAAACCCACTGTACATTGTCAGAGGGATTAGAAGACACTGTCTTTTATCTTTAAGATGCCGGAAAGTTGCTAGGAACGTAGACCAAAAGGATGATGCCTCTAGTTTTTCTTTCTCAGTCTCTGTTTGGTCAGATTTGATCTGGTCCAGAAATATAATAACCAGCAACACAGCTAGCACACCACTAGCTGAAAAAAAACAAAACAAAACAAAACAAAACAAAACAAAACAAAACGTTCATGAAAACCTGAGGAATGCTGAAAGAATGATAGGAAGTCGCTTGCTGCTGTTACTGTTCTGACTTGGTGCTTAGCTCTCTGTGGGATATTTTGGCAGCTGCCTCAGATTCCGCTTCAACGTGAAGGCCATTTCAGTATAAACAAGAAGGCCTGATCTACATTCACATCTTCTGCATACAGCTGTGCACTGGCAAATCCCCTCAGCCCAGCCGTGGCTGGGCTGTTGTGACAGCCGCCGAGGGTGATGGCTCTCCCTTCCAGGGCAGGCCAGGGCATGGCGCTGGGAGCCGGCCAGAAACAGCTCCCGCGGGAGCTATCACAAGGCTCTAAATCAACAAGACAGGGGAGTATTCACTTCCAGTGCCAAGGTTTTCATGGCTAGCAGGGCTCTTCTTTCAAATACATGGAAAGAAAAATAAATGCTGTCTTGAAGCCCAGTATATTTTGTGCCTTTTTTTTTTGGCTCAGAACCATGCTTTGATATGGAATATATGCTGTTTTGAAGATGATAGTGAGCAGCTCTACTTAACTTGAAAAGATGGAAGTTACAGCTTTAAACCCATAATTTCCGAGCAGAAGCAGCATATAAAAGAATATATAGAGTATTTAATCAGAAAATTATCATGTATCTATCAGTCTAGATTTGTTGCTTGTGTAGAGAATCAAAACAATTTTTTTCATGGTATCAGGAAGATAACCATGCCTCATAATATACATGAGACAACCATTGATTCACAACTGATTGCTTCATTATGGATGCAGGGCATGATAATGTTTCCTCACTTATACTGACTAGAATTCCATCCATGGAAAGAAGTACAGTTCAGAGTAAGATGAGAACCAGGCACCTCTTTCCATCCATTTTGCTTTTCTAATGTGCCCCTATGTTGTGCGTATGGACATTGTCTCTACTGTGAACTTTTACTATCCAAATACATCAGCAGATTTATAATAAATTTCCTTATTTTTTATTGCTTATTATTTTTCATCCATGTGTCCTAGGATTTCTCCAGCATCCTGGTTCTCCACTGTGGCTGAGATGTAAATCCTTTGTGATTCAAGTCATTATTGGCTCTGCCATAGTGTTTATTAGTACTTATGGACTAATTGCTGGACTTAAATAGGTGAGAGCAGGACACCCACATTTCCAGAAAAATATATATAACAAATATGTTAAATGAATCAAGGTCAATTATAAGAGATAATGGCATGGCTTAATAGCATGTGGTATGACCATAAATAGGAACATTCACAGTCCATGAGAAAGCAAAACAGCGGAAGAGCTATCCCTTAATGTCTCCACCCAAGCTGGGCAAAATAAGTATTCAACCACCAAATTGAGGACACATTTAAAAAATGTCTGTGAATGAAATATTTAGCCAGTTACTTTCCCTTGAGGTAAGAAAAGACATCTCTTTTATTAAAGGCTTAAAAGAAAAATGAAACCCCACTGACACAGGGTCAGGAAGAAGCAGGGTTGCATTCACTTTGCATGCACAAACCCTACGGGAGTGCTGTATATGTTAGTAATCAAATTTAAATTTAAACTTTACAGACAAACATGCCTTTAGCAGAAAGTCATCAGCTCCAGTACATTCTGGGAGGAGAGTGGGGGCATATATTTTACAGTTTCCCACCAATTATGAATGGAGGATGAGGACAGAGAAGAGTTTTCTGCAGTGTCCTTGTGCACTGAGACCTGGCCCTGCCTGGATCACATACACTCTGTTGGAGTGTATGGCAAATTCTATGCTTCTGTCTCAGCACAGAGACTACATCTATGTTCAGAAGCTGTGAAAATATTTTGACAGAGCTAAGGTGTACATTGCCTTACCAGATACTTTCCTTTATCCAGAGAATAAATTCTTTTGATTAGGATACTTTTTGTAACTTTCCTCACCCAGCTAATCCTTGCATATCTATTTATTTCTTTTAATGGCATCAGCTTCCCTGTATTTAATTCTTTTCTAACCTTGTGCAAGGAAGGTCTATAGCAGCTGTAGTTACTAAATGGGAGATATGCCAATTTGCCTGGCTGAATTTGGGTTACCACACTGGGCTTCAGCTTTATTCCAGGTGAAAAATTTAAATAATATCTTTCTCCTTTAGATAAATATGATACTGCTCTGGCAAAAAGCATTAGAACTATTTAGGAAGGAGTTGTTTATGGCTCTCACATATCTCATTTTCCTTTAAGAAATTGAATTGAAGGAGAAAGTCAGAAATCTGCAAAGCCATGCAAGATTCCACTAGTACCAGGCTCTCCATCAGTGATACTGATTAAAGACTGTGTGGATTACTCACCAGTATAGACCCCTACCAGTGTGTAGATTAAGGAGTCAGAGGGTCTTTCTGACCCAGTGCTGTTATTGGCATCAGTCAGGCAGTCGTATGCTCCACAGCATTCCAGGTCTTCTTCTGAGATCTCCCCTTAGTAAGAGCCAAAAGAAAGGCAGGCCAGTGAAGAGATAAGGTAAGTGCACACTATGTGCAAGGACATGAGGATATAAGGAATCTAATGCTTAGTGACTGGTCCTGGTTTCAAGCCTTTCCTGATTAGAGATATTTAACTTCAGAATCCCCATTTAACACACAAAAATTTGGTTTAAGAGAAAAAAAGGAGACTCTGAATTAATGGTTACATGAGGGCAGGGACTAATGTTAGAGGCTGAAATCTGAATCCAAGCTCATTTTGTGGTATTCAAAGTTTGGGTATATATTTTTATCTCTTAATCATAATACCTCACGAGATAGGTCTTTAAGTTTACACCAGCAAGGGACTAATGGACTTCATTTCTTACAGCCACCTCACATTTTCCCTCTCCAGATAATTTCTGTATATACTATAGGGACAGAAACCACCTCAAGACATCTTTTTTTTTTTTTTTTTTTTTTTTTTTTTAAAAATTTTTTTTTTTTTTTTTTTTTTTTTTTTTTTTTCAAGTAGCCTGCTTTTCCTGACTTTATTTTTTTACTACTGCCTTTATAATTTTCTGAGAGCACACTTGAAACTAACAGTTCAGCAGGCTTTGGAGTAAGACCTTTGCTTGGTGCAGTCCTATTGTTTTTGTGCAGGGCATATGTCAAAGTCTCAAAAACACATGTACTCACACACACTGTCACCAGCACGCTGTGCCCACTTCCTCCAGTACCCTATTGGTAAAGAATAAAGGCTAGCCCAAAGTGTAATCCTGAATAAACCATCTACTGGAGGAGGATCCAAACCCCACACAATAATTTTAGTGCTTTCACTGCAGAATTTGTCTCTAGTCCAAGCACAATAAAGGGAAATACAGCTGTACTTTGGCTGATTCCTTAAGGAAGAGCTTATCCATAATTTTTCAATTAAGCTTATTGTGTAACTACTTTTAGTGTATTTTTCCTGATTGCTTCCCATCAAAGCTGCTGTGATGTGAATCAGCTGTCTAACCAGCTTCATAAACAACTTCAGGTTCAACATAAAATAAAATGTAGTAATGTAAAGAAAATTATTACCTTATTATAGTCACTATTACTACAGACCTTCAGCAAAAAATAGACAAACAGACTTTCAGCAAAATTGCCATATGCAAAAGGTGAGTCACACGAGTGAAGTGTGGAAATGTGTAAAACAAGTTTTTTATTGGTTCCTGCATCATCTGAAGATGAAGCTGCACATGCAATTAGTCATATGCAAGCTGCAAGGCAGGATTTGCACTGTTTCTCTTGAATTAAAACTGTAAGATTGTTGAGTGAATAAGGATGACTCTTGTAATTTACACTGATTACTGTCTTCAGTTCTGGTATTACCTTATGGTGTAACTTTGCTTTGCTGTGTCTGGATGCAGTGGTGCAGACAATACATCAAGAGTAGGTAGATGTCTGAATTTTATGCATTTTGATTCCCCAGATACATGCTGTATTTTTCCTACTGCTCAGCGAAATTATACATTTTAAGTACATGAAAATATGAATGGATGCCTTTGCACAATTCTCAGAGGAGAGAAAAAGAATTGCATGACTGGAGATTCTTACCCCCTCACCCCAGCAAAGAAGTTCCCTCTAGATTAAAGCTGTGTCTCACTGAGAAGGCACAGTAGTGAAACTCATGTTATAACTGCTCATCACTGTCATGGAGATGTGCAAGGCCTTTGGCTTTGAGAGCTGTTCACAGGAACACAGCATTTTTTGAAATTCTATGTAATAGATAAAAAAATAAACGTCTTTAGAGTTTGGAGAAACATCCTCAAACGTAAAACTAGAAAGGCATTTACAAGACCAAAAAACAGTGGTTTATTCCTCTTGTTAAACTTATGTGTGCTGTGAGGCAGAGAAGAGTCAAGTGGCTGCAGTCTGTACAGACTCCACAGCTGCACCACTGCCTCTACCCTGCAAGTGAAATCAGGACACAGTCCCTGCTGAGACATCATGTGGCTCTGGGATCAGGGCAGCAGAGCTCCACTGCACTTGAAAAGGTCTGCCAGCATTCTGCTTCCATGGTGCTTCTCCTATAGTTATTCTACCCTTGTGACAACTACTTTGTCATAAATCCAAAGATACAAAGATTAAAACCTGATGTCAGCTTCCTGACATTTAACCTAGTAGCTATTTGAAAAAAATACCGCTTAACTGAGATGGGAAAGAGGCAATGTCTTGCTACTCTTAGTAGCAGTGTATATGGAAAGCTCTCCATGTCTGGAGAATAACCCTGTTTTGATTTTGAGGGGATGAAAAAAGTACAGAAGGCTGCAAAGATAAGACACCACAGCATTTTGAATCTCTAAGGTGGCATCCAAATATTAATTTATCTTCACAACTACCCTTTTAAAATTGATGCCAATTACATGCATGGGAAGTGAGTGCACTGCTGCTGAGTGATTTCTTCAAGCTACATTGGCATCTGCTGTCTGAGCCTGAAGTACAGCACAGGAGCCCTGGCACGCAGGCTCCTGCCAACAGCTACTGCTATTTCTTCTTGACAGCTCTGTAGAGCACTCATTTTCAGCAAGCCCAGCAACCAGTCTGACTAATTTTGAATGCATAACAGCAAGCTAACCCAATATTACAAGCTTTGCAAAAAAGTTGGGTCACTATTTTGTCTTTTGTTTTAAACCACTTTTTATAGAAGCCAGATGTGAAGGACAGTCACTGCCTGCAGCCTATCTATGCTTTGCAATACAGGGATACAAATAGAATTCAATAGAGTTCTATTTTTTACTTATTTGTCTGAACTCTCTTTATGGCTGATTTTTGATAGAAAATAGACACTTTCAGAGAGAAATTTATCTCATTTATTTCAGTCATATATCCTCAGATGAGCTAACTCTCATCCAAAGTGCCTGTTTCCACTGACTATGAAAGCTCAGCTGCAGAAATCTGCCTCTCATCTATCTAGAACTAACTGATGTTTACAGAAAGAAGTGCCAAAATTTAAAATACATTTTACCTTGGTTGGAAGATTGGCTAAGGATCAAGGATGAGATAAGATTTCCCCAGATGCCGGAAGTCTGAAACACCAAAAAGAAGATCCCAAAGTATTGGTTGATAATGTCTTTTGCATTTTTTTCTGCTTTCTCAGCATACGAAGTGCCAGCAATAGTGAGGTAAGTGCATTTGGCAGACCAGAGTGGTGCTCCTCCTAAGCCCAGGATCACAGATGTAGGGATTAGTGTGTACCTGCCAAAGAACACTTTATTTAGCATAGTTGTTACCATTAGGATAATGATCAGTTGCCCAAAGTTCCAGCAGCAAAAATAGACATCAAAGAAATAGATTCATCCTTTTTATGATACAGTAAATCTGCTACATGGAATCAAGAAAAGGCCAGCCTTGTGAAGTTTAGGCTGTGCAAGCATATGCAGGTCTGTGCTCATGTGCCTTAACTTATCATAACTGAGAAATAAATTGCACATCCATTTCAGAAGATGGATATTGACAGCTTTCCTCTATAGAGTTGCAACCCTTGTCTGGCTTGCAGAAGGTGGAGACCAGAAGTTGTTCGTCCACTTTTAGAAAGAGCTAGGCAGGAGTTAGCCTTCTCCTGTGGTCCACTTCTCTCAGAGCTACTGACTGGAAGATAGTCTTCCCTTCAACCTTTTCAAAAAGAACCCTAAAAGTATTTTGATTTTTAAATGAAACTTCTGTGGTTTTGTTCCCCAAAGCTGAATCTCTGCTACAAACATGAGTTAGAGAAGCCGCTTCAGGTGGGTGGATGCATGTATTCATTCTGACTCTTTGCACATTTTCACCTCTCTGGTCCACCTAAAACTGGATTTATTTATCTTGATTTGTTACAAGTAGCACCTTTTGCTTCCAACTTTCTACTCTGCAACACAGAGCTAGAGTAGGAATGGAGAAGAAAAAGAAGAAAGAACTTTGCTCTTACTTTTGTTTGAACACAACAGTGAGAGTTAAAGTATTTAAATCATACCAGCTAGCATAGAAATTCCCTAGGGAGTAGGTGATGTAGCAGCACATAGAGACTGCAATGGTCCACTTGCAGCCCAGCATCTTGATGATGATTGGAGGGAGGAACATGGACGATAAGGTGAGCGCAGCAAACAGTACACTTAGGGAAGCAACGCCCAGGCCTTCTTCTGCATTGAGACTGCTCTGCAGGGACAAAAACAGTGATTGAGACAAATGTTATCACAGGTACATATTGCTGTGGTGTACAGAGAGTGGCTTTGGGCAGAAATAAAGAGACAGTATCTGGGGCTGGGTATTACTGTCTCATCTCCCCAAAACAACCTGATTATGGACTTGGAATTTTCTTCAAAATGATAGGCCATTTATGAAAACATGATACAAAACCAGGTGTGGATTGCCCAGATTCAAACCTTTTGTAAGTCATTCTTTAGATTATTGGTTTGAGTTTCTCTTTGAAAGCAAGTTGAATGAAAGATAACCTCTTTTCTTGGCCTTCTTTTGTTGTCTTAGTCAGGAATATCATCAGATATGCATTGCAAGGGCTGGCATAGCAATAGTGGGAGATTCTTTGCTTTAAACTACAGGTCTGATAATTTCTAAGATTTTCGGAGGCCAAGGTCCAAATATCCTCATAGGCTTGCAGCGGCCCTCAGTAGTTGGAAATAATTGATTCACCTACATTTTCACAAAGAAGGAATAACATTTTACTGATCTAATCAGGTTTTATAATTTTATTATCAAACTAGTTATCCTCTTGTCTTGAGCTCTGAAAGTTGAAATGAGAAAATTAATTTGGGAGACCTGGGCAAGCTTGAAAAATGGGTCCATGTGAACCTAATGAGGTCCAACAAGCCCAAATTCAAGGGTCAGGGCAACCCCAGACATCAACAGACTGGGAGAAGAACTCACTGAGAGTAGCCCTGCAGGGGAGAACTTGGGAATTCTCTGCATGAAGACCTGGAAAAGAGCAACAGTGTGCATTTGCAGCCCAGAAGGCCAACTACATCCTCGCCTGCATCAAAATAAGTGTGACCAGCAGAGCAAGGGAACTTCTCCCTCTACTCTGCTCTGCTGAATCTCCATCTGAAGCATTTCCTCCTGTTCTGGGCTCCCTGGCACAGGAAGGACATGCACCTATTAGAGAGGAGGGTCATGAAGATGATCAAAAGGATGGACCATCTCTCCTAGACAGCCTGCAAGGTTGTTTCAGCCAGGAGAAGAGAAGACTCCAGGAAAATCTCATTGCAGCTTTACAGTACTCAAAGGGGACATTAAAAAGGGAGGGTGTGACTTTTTACAAGGAGGGCAGGTAGTGATAGGCCAAGAAGGGGCAACAGCTTTAAATTAAAAGAGACATTTAGGGTAGATGTTAGAAAGAAAATCTTTACTGTGAGGGTGGTGAGGTATTGGAACAGGTTGCCCAGAGAATCTATGGATGCTCCATCCTTGGAGATGTTCAAGCCCAGACCGGATGGAGCTTTGAGCAACCTGGTTTACTGGAAGGTGTCCTTGCCCATGATGGAGGGATGGAACAAGATGACCTTTAAGGTCCTTTCCAACCAAACCATTCTGCAATTCTATGCTGTTTAGCAATGGTTTCCTGATTGTTTTGATTAATAGGTGATATATGATTGCTCTTCAGTATGATTTTGGAAGGGGGACTGGATGCTGAGGGGATGGCACTGGAGAGCATTGTAGGAGAAGGAAGCACTTTGTGGCTTCATGGAACACTTTCCAAATCTGCAGTGGTTGTGCAGTCTGGCCATGCAGAACCACTGTGGCTGTCATGCAGCATGCTTGGAGACAGCCAGGTACCAGGACAGTGAGGTGAGGACAGTCCCTGTTAGACAGGGCCAGGCATTTGAGAATTTGAATGGTTGTTGTGTAAACAGGCAAAGAGGCTTCCTGATCTCAGAGGTCTTATTTTTGAAACATCACATGCCTGGCTTTGTCAGCTACAACTTCCACAAATTAAAAGCCAGGCTTCCACAATCATATGATTTTTACTGTCTGGGATTGTTTTGTTGTTTTTTTTTGTTTGGTTGGTTGGTTGGTTGGTTGTTTTTTTTTGTTTGTTTGTTTTTGGGTTTTGTGGGGTTTTTTTATTTATTTATTTGGTTTGGTTTGGTTTGGTTTGGTTTGGTTTGGTTTGGTTTGGTTTGGTTTGGTTTGGTTTTTTTCAGGGGGTTCTGGGTAGTGGACTATTGAAATGAATGATGAAAATTTTTAACATTCCAGTACTTATAGGCTCACAGATTCACAGAATGTTCTGAGTTGGAAGGGACCCACAGGATCATCAAGTCCTACTCTGAAGTAAATGGTCTGTATGGGAATTGAACCCCCAGCCTTGTTGTTCTTAGCACCAAGCTGTAACCAGCTGTTTCAAATGGTGGGACTGACTTGCATCTTCTAGGGTTTATCTTCCCCTGCCTCATCAGTCTCCCCAACTCATAATACTGCCTAATAATCTATTTTTGGGACTGTTTTGCAGAACAGCCCTGAGTTCAGAATCTGACAATGCCAGCAAAGAAAGTCTGTTCAAGGAGAGAAGACAGATGTACAGAACAAGGAAGAAGAACCTCTTCCTGAAATGAGGTCAAGCCATTGTTATTACAAACAAGTTCATCATGTTATGTATCAACTTCCACCTTTAAGGCATACAAATTCCTACTCCAGTTGGAAAATTCAATATAGTTGATCATGATCATATGTTAATATCCTGCCTAAAGTTGCTTGTCAATGTCTTCTATTCATTTATCATCCATTAGATCAGCAGAGCCTTTAAGGCTGAGAAGTTTCTCCTTGTGTTTATCTACTCAGAAGCAGTCGTAGATGGCAATAGAAACCCTCAGTCTTTTATTTTGGATGAGCAAGTGAGCTCTATTGATAACCTAAATATTTGAGTCATTCTAGAAACCCACCTCTGCTACTATGTTTTAGGATGTTAATGCCAGTAAAGCCACATAAATGCCTCATTCAAAAATAATATTTTTTACTATTATTTTATATAATGATCCTAGAAATTACTGTATTATTTTATGCTTAAACAATTTAATGATTTGAGAATAATTTTTAATTATTTCATATTACTGTACAATAATAATTATTATAAAATCTTAGCAATTTAGAAATATTCCAAACAAATCCTTTTCAAAAACTGAATTGTTTTCCATTTGGCAGTATCTTCTTTTGAGAAAAGTCATCTCAGGTTAATTTTGTTTTCTGTTTCCATTGAAACGGGTTTTGTGGCTCTAGAGTAGTAGCATGACACAAATATGTGAGCTATTTGGGAAACACTACAATAAAATATTTAGTAAATTCTGCGGATCCAGGTGAGGAATATTAACCTGCAGCAAGTTAATGTCCTAACCCACCTCATAAAAAATACTGTGCATGCCTTCCTCACAGACACCATGGAAAGACTGATGTGTTTCACACTACCAGTTGGCCTGATGCCCTTCCAGACCAGCTGTCCTGACAGCCAATGGGAGATGCCCCTCTTACCTGTAGACTCTGGAGTCCTGAGTAAGCAGTAAAGAGAAGTAAAAATCCGAAAGAAATGACCAAAACATTCTTAAGATTCCTTTCCATGTTGATTCATAGAAGACAAAAGGTCTGCCAGTGGGCAAAGCTGATCCAATTATTCCAGGGGATGATTTGAGTTGGAGAAAAACAGCTTATGCCTTGTTGGAAAAGGTCACTTTTTTCTGTGTTTGTAGAGAAGAGAGTTGCTAATTATTTGAAGATTGACCAGTGAACTTTACTTTTAAATAGTACTGAAAGCTTCTTATGGAGTTGTTACTCATTCACTTGTTACTCAGGCAATAGCCAGCAGTCCCAAGGGCACCTATCATGTTTTTTTTTACAGAGGTATATAAGTCTCTTGCAACACTTGCACCTATTTGAGTACTGAAGTAATATATGGCTCTCCACTATGATCAGCACAGAAGAAAAAATTGCAAGCTGCGAAATTACTTTCTGTCATAAAGACACACAAGTCCATAGGGGACAAAGATTAAATGATGTACTGAAATCTATGTCAAACCTCTTGCTTAACTGTGTTTACAAAAGTGTGCTTCAAAATGAGATTGTGCTACAGCTCTGTCTGCATACACCAGCTCCATAACTGGGCAGCTCAGAATCCCAAAGCTCCTGGGCACTTGGCAAGTGGGACAGCCTTCATTCAGGGGGAACCTTGGGGCTTTGGTCCCTCAAGTTTACCAAGTCATACTCATGAAAATTATTTTTCCCAATCTTTCTTATCAATGCAGAAGCCAATAAAAACAAAGGTGGATTAAGCAGATAACTAAAAAAGCAAGTTCCCCTCTCCTTCTCTGGCCCTAAGACTGGCAGGGTGAATGGACCCTTCCCGCATCTGTGGCAGAAGAGGGATTTGAACTTGGGAGAAAAAATGTCCATTCTATGATGTAAACAGGTCTGTAGGGTGTCCACAGTGTCCATTGAGAATGCACAGCTAAGACTTAGTCTAAATCCCACTAGATGGCACAATTTTGCTTCCCACAGGGACATTCATGGATAAGGGGAGGAAGTTCTAATGCATAAATTAATTTAAAACATTAAGAGGTCACAGCCAGTTTCTGCTTTGGAGAACATTGCAGTATGTGCCTTTTAATTTTCTTCTTTTGCCTTATAATCTTCTCAAATGAAATAATGCAGAAAACATAATCTTTTAATTCTCTATTGTTACTGGTACTTCTATGTTGCAAGTCTAGATAATGGCTTTTTATTTTAGAGGCTACTATGCTCAGCATGAGAACTCCTTGAATTATATCACAATGCTGCTCTTGTTTGGCAGTGTTTGTAAGCCTCTACAAGGAGCTTAGACCAAACTGGTGGTACTTTCCCTCATCTTTTCAGGTTAATGGATCCCTGCAATTTTCATGTGACAATATTTGAGAAGAAATTTACACTTGGTTATGACATGCTTGTTTCTGTTTTCTACCCCTTAGAAAAGGTGTGCAAAATTCTAGGAATTTGCAATCACAGGTCTAAAACAATTGAAAAAAAATATTGAGGCTATGTAAGAATAATATTTATCCTAAACAAAAGCACAATTATCACCCACTCTGGCACAGGCAAGAACCAGGAATAGTGCAAAGACAACTCTTTATTTTAGTTCTCTTTTTTGACATTAGCAGTAATAATAAGAAATCTTAAAAAATCATCATTAACTGGATAGTATTTTTAAAATGCAGTGTTGGACAGGTTATCTGATCAGTAATTGTAATTCTGCTCTGGAGGAATTCCTGAATCCTAATTCATCACATCTTCTTAGCAGCGTAATATTGGACAGCATATGGGGGATAGTGGTAATTTGTGCGTGCAGGGTTTTTTTCCTGTTCTTTTCACTGATCAAAGCTTCTTCCACATCCCTTGCCCAGAGCTTTGGGTTATCCAACTGACTGGTCCCAAGCCCCTCCTTAGGAATGTGCAGAGTCTTTACCAAAGGGATCTGATAAGGCCAAGGATCTTTTCCTTTGGTACCAGGCAGCCAAAGCTCCAGCAGGCCTGCTGTGTATCACCCTTGACACTTCTTTCATTCTTTCTGCCAATCCAAGATTAAGTGAGCCTAAGCCTCAGGAGCTGTGTGCTGTATTTGGGCATTAGGTTTCACACAGAAGACTGCAGCCACCAAATGAAAACTACTTGCAGAGCACAATCATAAACACGGGAGATGAAAGAGGCTGGTTAGATTCATTACTCCATCCCACAGGTGATTACATTTGTTTTCACCTGTTTATTTTCTCAGGGTAAATGAGGGGAGTCTTTGCTCAAAAGATTATAGCATGAGAGACTAATATTTGGAGGGTTTTGTGCTTCATAATTATCTCCCTATTTAGTCTAATTTATTGTTTAGGCAATTGTTTACTGTTGTTTAGTAATTTTAACAATAACAGAAGAAAGCCCCACAACACCCAGGATACTCATAATAGGATTTTCTGTCTTAGGAGGCTTTTAATTGGTTATTTCCTTGGTGGTACACAGTATCCCTTGAATCTATCTACAGAAAGGATGCTTACACAGCATTTCCTGTCTTGCTGTGAAAGCCTGGCCATGTTACTTCCTTATTCTCCTCCTCCTTCACCTGTGTTTGTGCCCTGCTCATTTTGGATTTGGAGCAGGAAGGGCAAAGCCCAGACATTTCTGACAGGGGCATTGGAAAATACCACCTGTTACATGTTGGCAGAAGGTCACAATCTGAAAGTGAAGTAACAGTGAACTGAACAGATCAAGCAAGAAAAGCCATTTTCTTGCAAGAAAGGGGGTTGTAAGGGACTTGCCAGTCAGTAAACACATTTTACCCACAAAGTTGGGGCAAAATAATTTTTGTAGTGCCAAAAGCTCAAGCATTGTAACTTGCTCCTGTTCGTCTATGAAGGTTTGAACATTTCACCCTTCTTCAGTATTTCAGGTCTCATTTCCAAATTTCCTGTATTTCCCATCTCCCCTTTCAAATATTTCTCTCCTACTGTGCAAAGCATCCACAGATACTGTCCTTTCATGTCTTCTCCCAGGATTTTCTCTGCTTGCAGAGCTGTATAAACATGAGTAAGCCACTTTTGTCTGAGCCCTATCTGCTGATGTCCTCTGTCTTTCTCTGGAGAAACCCAAGTGTCTCAATCTTCCTTTATGCCCTTGATGTATGCCATCCTTCCTTAATTCCTGCTTTGCAGTTCCCTAGCCATCACTCTGTCTCTGTCTTGCTGCTTCTCCCTTCTTACCTCATCTTCTGAGTGCCAGCAGACTTTTTGATTCTTAAGGGAGTGGCTTGAAAACTGCAGGAGGTGTTCTTGTTTCACAGGTTATTACACTACTCTTAGCCTCACTGGCTGTAAGGTCTCTCTCTCTCCTCCTTTAACACCACTCTTAATTTCTCACAAGGACCATTTCCTCCAGCTCCACTCCCTATTACTTAGGGAAGAAGGGAAGAGACACTTTTTCATCTTTGTTGGAAGTAAGGTCATGGTAGAAAGGGGAAAAGATCCTAGAAGGGTACAGACTTGAATTAAATGGACTTTTTTTCTTTAGGTCCATGTAAGAGACTTGCCCTGCAGGACACTTATCTGCTCTGTTCAATGCAGCTCCCCAAATAACCAATATTGTCTTTATAATAAAGACAGAACTCAGTTTAGGATAGGATAATGTGATGCCAATCCAGACTCACTCATAAATTTTGATGACCTGGAGAAACAGTTCCTTTAATTGTTGGACTTCTTATAGCTGTTACTCACCTCCTGAGATTTGCATCACTTTTGGCTGGAGTTTTCAATGCATGAACCCATGTATGAGAGTGTTCACAGACACTAATTCTAGCCTAGGGAGAAGTTCAAGCATTTTGAAGGTAGCACAGTGTCCTGTAGAGCAGCCAACCTCCCCACGGAGGGCAGCCAAAGAGGCTGAACTCACCAGGCTGAGAGCTGCCTGTGAACAAGCCCTGCTTCTCCACCAGAGTGGTCTTGTATTCATGCTCTTATAAGAAAATGCTTTTATTTGGTTCAAACTCAGCCCAGTAACATTCTGCTTTCTTTAAAGTGTTGTCTGAGCACTGACATAGTACTTGGGCCTTATTCTGCATTTTAGATATTTCAGAATAGCTTCAGTAATCCCTTTTCTAAGCCTAAACCAGAACTGTGACTCAGTTGGTTAGACTTAACACCCTGCTAAGATAAACATGCCACTGTTGTGATCTGTGCTTTTATAATGAATGGGTAGGGAGGCAGATCCTGCATATGAACAATGGACTTTTGTAGGGCAGTGGCTCTGAAGCCTTTAGAGCCATTTACTGGAAACTGCCTGACTGCATACTGGTTGTTCACATGAGCATGCATGAGAAATTCCTTGCACACACCCATTATGTATGCTGGGACGATGGGACTCCATCAGCAACCCAAATGATACACATTTTTACCTTTTCTCTTTTGTTCAGAGGTGGCAGTTCATGTTATTAATGACCTTTATGAAGGTAGCTCATAAAAAGGTCTATAGTGATCAGTCAGGATGCCCCTACTGTTGAAAGGCTACCACTAGGATTTGTGATTAATTTATCAGCCAATGGAAATAAAAAGAAGATAAAAGAATGGGGCTTGATCCCAGAGAGCAGGGCTTCTTAGAGGCATGTTGGTGTATATGTCCTGGAACGTGGAGGAAAGTCCTGATGCCTTCCACCTTTCTTTTGTATATTGGTTACACCCATAACTGGACACTGCCATAAGGGGAATATTTACAGCCTATTTACTACCCACCTGCCATCAGTGTAGATATCTATATAAAGATATCTAAGATAAAAGGGCAAGTAGAATAAGTCTCTTCTTCTGAAAGCCTCACTTTTGCTTTCTTTCTTTGAATATACTAGAACCACCTGTAAGGGCAAGAGCTACCAAGCAGAAGTGCAAGCAGGGCTCTTGAGAGTGTAATATTAGAAAAAGCAGCTGTACAGGTTGGTATGAGTGAAAGGTGTTGTTATGGACAAAATAGAGTATCTATTAATCAGAATAGGCAATCCTGCAGAAAATTTTGGTTATAAAATTTCCTCCCTATTCCAGTAGATATGATCAGATGTTTGGGGCTGG